AACTGATCTCATGCTACAACAGATGTTTCAACAACAATGAAAACTAAGTGGAAAAATAGCCAAAAGTATGTAGAATCTGAGAAAAAATAAAGTATTTGTAATGTTTAGTAATTCATTTTTTATTGGAAAGCAGTCCTTACTTTAAAAATATCCCTTGTAATTTGTATTCTCTCTTGCAATTTCAATACTAAGTTTTTTTAATCTATTGTTGATATTCATATTTCTAATCCAATTTTTACACACACGTATACCATATTTTTGCAGATTGTCCAGCATGTCAGTCTATCTGGGGAGACCATAAAATCAGATATTTCTGTATGGTAAAAACTGGCATGCTGGTTTATTCTCAGGGAATGCCAGAATATCGATTTACGTGAGGTTATACATCCCTCTCCAGAGGGTGTGGCTAGTTACATCATGTGGCATCTCATAGACAGCAGTTTTTATTCTAAAATTGTGAAACTGTTGGCATTGTATAAAAGAACTACAATTATATTTTTAATTTCTGCATTTTTTGTCATCTTTCTAACAATGTAAAATACTTATAGAATGCTGAAAGTGCTTTTTTTTTTTTTTTCAATTTGAAAAAATCGTAGATCTATAAATTTCCACTGTTGTTTGTCTGTCCATCTGCCTTTCCTTAATCTCAAGAATGGAGTTAAATAGATGAAAGACAAGACCAGATATAGAAACCTTTGGGGCAGCAGGCCCCGATTAACTATATAGGAACTTCCGATGCAACTGGACATCATGTTATTTCAATTCAAAATTTTCCCTTGAAAGCAGCAAATAGATGACCAGCATGACTCTGTTGCTAACAGGCAAAGTATGATGTACAGGGACAAGGCACTAATAATTTGAGGTGAAAAAGCATATATTTTAAATTAAATAAATTAAAAATATCATTAAAGATTGCAGCCTGACATTGTGATGATGTCACAATAAATAATTGCTCATTATCATCTACATAAAAATAGATGAAAACGTTACTAATTTTTTTCTTTCATAATGCTGGTGTTGGTTTTGTGTGTTGTGTGTTTATACAAACCCAGTTTTGGAGAGATACTATTTGCTCATTATGAATAAAATTTTGAAATTACTGTAATTACTCAGGAAATTACTGTAGAACAGTAATTTCTTGAGAATGGCCTATTAGAAATAGGCTGAAAGCATTTGAGTATTAAATTAATAGTAAGCTCAGTAAGTGTTCGATGTTTGATTATATTTGTAAGTAAATGCTGAGGAAGTGAGGATAGATGGTTGATTATGTTTGTTTTATTGTAATTTGATCCAAAAAATGCAAAAATAAACATATCAAATTTCAGAAACTTGCTGTAAATTATCTCAACTTACACAATTAACATGTGCTGTGTGTGAAATTTGAGAGGAGAGTGTTATCTTTCAAGGTCAGGGTAGTAAAACTTTATTACTTTGGCTGCAGATTGTCAGTGCAGTCCACACTGACTAAGTCTACTACTACTAATTGTATTATTACACTGTAAATGAAAACTCTTTCTGGTTGTAAGTCAGTCAAATTGCAATGCTATTTTATTGCAACTACACTTTACCAACCTTTAATATGTAATTGAGAAAACTTTTAAAGTTATAAATGTTCTATAATCAGTTTCGCTCATCATAAATCAAAAAATTGTTCGATCCTTATGAATGTCAATTAATTGACCGAAAACGCTAGATTACGTTAATAAAATAGACTGCGTATTAAAGGTTGTTACCAACCTTTAATATGCAGTCTATAAAGTGTAGTTATTTTTGAAAGTGCAGTTTGAGAAGAAGAATTATTTTATTGTACTGGGAAGAATGTTTTCTTTAACATTTATTTAACAACAAATTTTGTTACATATGATTAATTTTAATTTTTAGTTGCAGTTTAACTGGCATGCCAGTAACCTTGTGGTTTCTGGCATGCTGGTCAATCTACAAAAATATGGTATATATAAACAAAATACAGTGGAAGCTCATTAGTCCAGCACCTAATGAACTGGAGTTCCTTAGATGGATTATCTGCTGGATTATCAAAAATGCTAATTATCAGAAGTTTTTATACATTTTCAAAATTCAATAAACAGTATTAGATCTAAATTTTAGATGTGACTATACATTTTGTATCAGTATGTGCTGCTGTATGCTTCTGAATTGTTTATGCACATTCTTTAATTACTCTGAGGATGATACATTCCATGACTACTGTATTAAGCTTGATTGAAAAATTTGCAAAAGCATTAATGAATGCATTGTGAATGTTGATTTTCTGCAATAATGATTCATATGCATATAATTTTCCTGACATGTTCTGTATTTTTGTCCAGGGTCTTTAGCATAGTATGTGTCCAAATAAATTTTGATTCATTAAATATAGTACTAGTATGCTTGAATATCATCAGACAATGGTACAATTCCAACATTGCAAAGAACCTCAACAAGAAATACCAAGAACAACTACTGGTAAAAACCAGCACCTCTGAATTTTAGGCAAGTAATCTACAACAAATTATTAGACTACAACTACAGAGAGATTGCCAATGCTAACAATGTTTCCTAAGTGGTCAAAAGGAGCCCTACTATATACACATTGCTTAAGAACAAGGGTCCCTCATAATAATCAGACTTCTAGGCATGTATATTAATGGACCAAAGATTAGGCAAGACAGTAAAATATATTGGGAATACAAGACCATTATACTAGTGCCTCCAAGAATACTTAAATTCAATTTTTAAAAAAAGGCCAACCACCACTGCTCTGGCTACTCTAGTGTTAGAAATGGATATTCATGTCCATATGGATCAAGCAAGGCTATTATCCCCAATGATGAAAAAATCAGATAGTTATCATCTAGAAAAAATAAATTTTTAAAGCATCGAAGGACAACTCCTCCATCAACTACAAAGATAACTTCCTGGTACAGGCATGGAGAGCCTTGATGGAAATTCAGCATATGTACAGTAGACCCCCTATAAAACGGGTTCCTATAATTACGATTCCTATAAGACAGCGAAAAAATTGCGACGGTATCCATAAAAAACGGTAAAAAACTCCTATAATTACGTAAAACGTCATCGGGCAGCCGAACTACTTTCCGCGTTGTCAAGTGCCACGCTACGGAGAGATTACTATCGTCTGTACAGTATTATATATAAATTAGGTACTGTACATATAATTATATATAAATTAGGTATTGTATATATAATTATATATTAAGTATATATAATTATATATTAACTTATTGTAACTTTGTTATAATTAAATATATAATTTCCGCCGTCTACCGTGGCGCCACGCTACGGAGATTTTTACGCTAACTATCGTCTGTCAGTATGTAAATTAGGTACCGTAAGTCTAATACAGCACTGTAATTTTATACATTTCTTGTGAAAGAAACATTTCTTATTCAACGGCAATTAAAATTATTTATATTAATGATGTCTCCAAAGTTCAGCGAAGTTTTCGCAGAAAAATAACATCAGAAATCGCGGCCGCAGTTTGCTGAGCTGTTCCGCGACGAAAACAATCTTGAGCAACGGCGATGTCGAATGGTGCACACTCGGTAAGTAATCCTACAACTTTTTGTTTATAGCGTAGTTTATACGGATTATTTCCAAAAAAAATATACGTATTTTGGAAATGTTGAGTCGGATTAGTCTAGAATCGATTAATTTTATGGAAGAAAACCTTTCAAACAGCCGTAGTCCGTAAACTTGACACGTGTCAGGCTGTGATTGGAAGGACTCGTAAGAAATCGGATTCCTAAAGAATGGAACGTATCTACTGTTTTATAGGGGGGTCGACTGTATTTACTCATGTCCTCAATTTTCCATTCAGTGAGCAACATCTAATATATTAATGTTTCCAATGCATGTGACATTCCAAATTTTGAAAGAAAGAAAACATTTGGTCTCCAAAGTTATTCTAAGTTCAAAAAATTAACATAACTGGATGATGATGGCTTAGCCCAACATTTCTCAACCTATGGGTTGCATTAAAATTTTAATTGGTTGCTAAATGATACTACTTTCCACATAAATACTTAGAAAATATTTCATTAATACAAGTATTATAAGAATTAAGAACAATAGATGGATCTGTTAGGTACTAAAAATTTTTAACAACTTATTTTCTTATAATTCTTGTCATTTAGTAATAAATTTAAGATTATAGAATGTGTGTGTATGAAATTGATTTCTCTTTTCTATTTTGAATAATGTCAAAATAGATATTTTATGTGAGGTCATAATCATAAAACCATTTAAGTTGCAATTGTTTTGAAAAATTTTTAGGTATATTTAATGTATAACAATAAATTATAAAAAAATAAATAATGAATGAATTTTGGTTCAAATCAATAAATAATTTTTTTTATTTTTGTATATACAAAATGAAATTGACAAAATCTCTTACAATCTGAAAAGTAATTTTAAAAATGGGTTCATTAAGTTTAAAAAAAAATAACCTGTAATATTTAAATTTTAACTTACTTCAATTACAGTTTTTAGTATTATTTGTTACAAATTGAAATTGGCCTGAACTGCTCTTAATTAATAGAAATGTATTCAATGTTACATTTCACACACAGAAGTAATTATCAATAATGCATAATTTTATAAGCATTTGGGTTGCAGAACCATTACAAATATATTGGGTTGCAGGAGTAAAAAGTTTGAGAAACACTGACTTGGACAATTTGGTTGGTTTGTTTTCCATACAAACTAACAGCTATTTGCTGGAGTTTGGGTAAGAAATATATTATCATCAAACAATACCAGATTATCAACTATATTTCAGATTTTTCCAGTTAACCAGATATTCTGGAGTATCAAATGGTGAATTAACAAGCTTCTACTGAATATCAGATTTAAATGAATAACTACAACAGTTTTAAATATTAGTATTAATTTAATTGAAAAAGGTTAACTAAATAAAATTCAAACAGAATAAAATGCTTTTATTCATTTTGAACTTTTTTATTTTATTTATTTATTTTTAGTGCCAGAGCCACAAAGGAATGCATCTACCTCAAATATAAAATCTTCAGCTCCAGTGTCAGAAATTGATACAGAAACACCACAAGAATCTACTATTTGATTAATTCTTCTAGAGATTGTAAAGGATTTTTTCAAATCCTTTCATTTCTCGACAACCCATGTCATAAATTAATTTTAAAAATGTTGTATGTACAAAGAACCTGTTCTGTGGATGATTATTAGTCTGTCTTTGCAACATTCCCCTCATACAAGTAACCCATTAATCTTCCTGTGCCTTCTCATCATTTTGTAGTACAAGGAAATTTTTTTATCTCCCAGAGTACAAAGGTAATTTTTGGCAACGATCAAGCACCATATTTGGTGTTATAGTACAATTTCATTCATCAGGGTGCATTACTTTATACTGTATATGTTATATATAAATTTTAATGCAGGAGTAGCACTTTCTTAGATTCTAGAGCACAAATGAATTTTCAGGCTAAAAATATTACATATTTAAAAATATTAATTATAAATATATGTAAAAGCATATAAGAAAATTGTGAAAATGAATGAATGAATGAATTTGTGTGTGTGAGTTTTATGTAATTCATATTTAATGGAAATGTTTTTTCTTTTCCTTAATAATTAGTGTAATTTCCAGTATTAAATTAGAATTCAAAATCTTGAAGTGTTGTTTCTATTCTAATATTATAAATATTAATTTGAAAATTGATATCAAATAATTTTGTATAGTGTTATGATCTAGGTCCATATGATTATTTTTAGCAGGAACAACAAAAGCATTACAAATTAAATTTGGAATAAAAAAATAACTAAAATATATTTTATAATGAAATGTTAATTTATATATTTGTCAAATATGAAAAGCTTTCAAAAGATTGCTAATTATCAATAATTTAAAATAAATGACAAATAATGATGAATTTAAATATTGTACCTTTAATAAAACAATTATAGACTCATTCTAAAAATTATATTTGTTTCAGAATGAATTATTGAAAAATTTATTTTGTCACAAGTGTAGCATGCAAAACAGTTTTTATTAAAAACAAGATACAGTTTATAAAACATTCCATTAAAAAATAGTAATTTTAGTTTATAGATAATAAAAATTAGGTGTGCATCATTTTTAAGTAGTATGTTTTAGTTCTTTTTAAAATAAATTCAGTTTTCTTAAATAATTTTTTATTAAAGAAAAATTTTTTATTCATTTATTCTTTTTAAAAAATGAATAAATGTTTTCTTTAATGAAAAATTTTGAAATGGTAATCATTTGTAAAGAAAATGTACTGTACAGGATACTTAATCTCTCTAGCTTGTATTCATTAGATATAATTAATTTTTCATAAATACCTTATGTTTTTTAAATATAAGTATTTTGCTAATCATTACATTTTCATATTTATTTAAATAATTTATTCATTTATTTTGTAATAAATCAATTATATTCAACTGATATTATTTTGAATAGCAATTAAAAAGTAATATTCATTTTGAATTACAATTCATTTATAGTATATCTTATATTTATTAAGGTATGATATATTAGGACAGTTAAATTATCAGTCTAGCTGTTTTAGACATTATAATTATTTTCAGTCAATTTGTTCTGATAAATTTTTATCACATTCTGAACTTTTTATTTTTTTTCTGTGTTTTGTAAACAAATTATCATATAGTAAATTCATCAAATATTGCCTACTATTTGCACAGTGCATTCATTATACCATCAACTTCAAAAATTCCATTGATACCAAACTTCAATATCTATTTCAAAATTTTTATATAGGATATTTAGTGTATACATTTCTTGCAGAATTTGAAAATGAATGTGTAAGTATTTTTCATATGTGTCAGATACTTTAATTTCATTCAGGAAAAACTATTAAAAAATTTTGAATATTTTTTTATTACAAGAAATTTAATGTTTACAATATATAGTTAGTTGAGAATTTACTTCAGGGATTCTAGAATTGAAATTGAGAATTGTTTTGAAAGCATCTTATATGAAAAATTAATAAAATTGTTTTAAACTTGAAAGAACAATATTTTTAAGAACTTTGTATATTACTTCATACCACATTTTGGTACTGTAGATTTGAGAAATTGTGTATTTTACTATGTCATCTGCCAATCCTGCTCTCCAGCATTTGTATTTCAACTATTTTATTTCTTGGAAAAACTAATAAATATATAATGATTAATAAATTTGATTTTATTGTTTTGCTCAAAAATGTTTGAATTTCTCAAAATTTGATTGTCCTAAAATATTAATGTTGAAATAATTTCATTCTTAATCATAACAACATCACATACATCACAGACATAACTCTACTAAACACCCATACCCACAACATACAAAATACATAACACTGAAAATTAAATACTCAGAACTCATTCACAAAATCTGTAGAGAATGATAAGGTACTTATTATGCTGGTAGTTTTTTCCTGAATGGGTATTATATCCTACACACTATACAACAGTCTAGAAACATAGTCTTCAACAGCATATATATCATACTACAGAAAGCAGCCATACTAACACATGTCATTCATATAGTCAGGAAATTCTTAAACACACATACATATACAAACAGCATGCAAACAATAATATTAGGGGCAGTCAAATGAAAACGAGACAGACTATATAACAAGTGTGGCATGGAAGTTGGTAATGCAGGTAGGTGTGTATATAGAAGTGCCCTCTATTGGGAATCATGAAGGAACAGCGTAAACATTCACCGCTGTGCCATTTGTCTATTAGACGTGCTCGAAGTGAGGTTGACGAGTCGTGTGTGCATCCAACATCACTATGGAGATCACTGCTTGTTGACTTTCTGGAACACGGCGCCACAACTAACGAACAGCAGTACATAGAAACTTTGCAAAAATTGAAGTGTGCCATCAAATCCAAACACCCAGGAATGTTGACAGACAGCATTATTTTATTGCAGGATAATGCCCACCCACATGTTACCAAGGTTGTTTTGACTACGCTGCAGAAGTTTCACTGGGAACTTCTGCAGCGTAGTCCATACACATCCTCCATACAGTCCCAATTTCTCCCCTTGTGATTTCTATATTTTTGGAGCCCCAAAGAAAGACATTTGTGGCCATCAATTTGCTTTGGACGAAAAGTGCACACCTGGGTACGATCATGGTTCCGTAGGCAACCACAAACATTTTTCTATGAAGGCATTGATCGTCTTGTCTCACAGTGGGATAAATGTATTAACAGTTACATTAACATGTAACTGTTAATACATTTTTAACAGTTGGCGATTAAATTTTGAAATAATAAACAGTTTACTTACTTTTTTCCCATCTGTCTCGTTTTCATTTGACTGACCCTAATAGTTTGTTCTGTAGCTATGGCTTGGCCTTTGTTTGGCATGGCACTATATACTAGTATCAGAATATATACTGTGTAGGATCACTCCACTAATGTCAGTGTAGTAATAATAGTATTAGGCACCAGTATATACTCAGAGTAGGATACATTCCACCAACACAATAATAATAATAATAATAATAATAATAAATATGAAATAAGATTAGATTTTTTTGAACAAAGTTAAAATATTATCTATAGCACTTAATAAAATTTGTAATTTTTTCCCTATATGTCTTGTATGTGCTAAATATCCTATATAAATATTAGAATAAAGCTTTTTTTATTCTAATTAGAATTAACTGAAAATTTTTTTATATTGAAGTTTTTCAACCAAATATAAATTATGGAAGTGATCTATCTAATAGATCTTTTCAGCATTATTGTGGCTTTAAAAACATTCTAGAATTTATGAGTTATAGTACATTGATCATCATATTTGATGAATCAGTTAGCATATCATAACAAAGTATGAGTATTAATAAAAAGATATTTATGCAATTTCAAGAGCAAACTTTAAAGAATTGCATAAATAATTTGATATTTTTTTATATTATTTATTAAATGATTAACTACTATATATTAACTGAATTTAAATATTATAATGCAGCATCATAACATAATAAACACAATTATGAAAGATTGCATATTTTTATCAGATGTCAATGCTCATTAACTTTTGCTATTGAAAATTATATTTTATCTTTAACAGTAGGAAAATTTTGACTGTTGTCAAAGTAACACACACTTTTTTTGCAGTAAAATGCATTGAAACATGTTTATAATGATTTTATTAAGTGTTTTATAAAAATTTATATTAAACTCTTTGTATTATGACTAATTTTCATAAATAGTTAATTAAACAAACTCCATCATTTAAGTGGTTGTCATGCTCTGCAATTTTCATCCATGCAAGTAACTGCAACTGCAAGAACTGCTCCCATTAACTACAAATCACTTTCAAATATTGTATGAGTGAAATATGAATAATGACTAAAAATAAAAAGTTTGTCTTCACATGGATTGCATGCATGTAGCCAGTGAGAAAAATCTTTGTCATTATAATTATTTAGAATGGCAATCAATTAGAAATATACCATATGTTGGAATCTGGAGTAAAGAGGGTTTTTGTTATTTTTTAACAAATTTATTACATGAGAAGCCAATGTAACAAACCCTTATGCAAGTTTTTTATTTACTCAATGTGCTCTCTCTTGCCCAATAATGCTGTATCCATGAATTGAACACCTTCTGACCATTTTGACATCAATCTTGGATCATTCATGTTTGCAAACTTTCCAAACACATCTAACATTGTTGATTTTTGGTTAAACAGCTTCTGTTTCAGCCAGCTAAATCAAAAGACTCTTCATGGGTATGTCCTCCTTGTTGATATGGCTAATTCCCATTTTCTGATGGAAATTGTCAAGATATTGTTTGATATGTGATCTTGCTTTGTCAAGATGCGGAAACACTGTGCATCTCATTGGGTACATACAGTATGTAGCAGATGCTCTTCAAACAGTGGTTTTAAAATGTGGTACTGCTCAGATATTTTCATTTTCAGGGGTATACTGAAAAACAGAAATGGGTCTCTTCTCAATAAACAGCCCTCAAGCATGAAAACTTGATAATTTTCTCTGTATTGCCATATCCAGTTTTTTGGACAGTCTTCTCTGCAACTTTTATGGGTGCCATTACAGTTGAGAAGGTACACCTAACACTTATCCAAAGTCATAGCAAATTCACTTCTTCCACCTACCAAATAATTTTCATATAACTTTCTTGTGTTGATCTTGTGATTCTCTTTGTCAGAATCTGTTTATGAACATTAATCTTTACCAGTGTATCCATATTCATATCTTTGTGAATAATGCAGTTAATGAACAATAGTGACACTTGACAATTCTTTACCAATGCTGTTTGGGTCAGAGTATTTGATGTGGTGATGGAATTCTTTACTTTCCTGATGAACTCTTTTGTCCTAGCTGTGATTGGTTATTGTTTCTTTGGAACTGGTTGGTTTTCTTTGTGTGATTCCAACATTATTTCAAACATTAGAAATTGTAGCTTTAGAAGCATGAATGCCATCCTCTAAAAGTCTCTTCTGGATTTTGCTATGTGACATTGGAAACGTGAAAAAAGTTCAGACCAGAAACCCTGTTCAGAGGTCAACATGTTGGAATGAAGAAAAAATATTGAATGCTCATGATTCAAATTTCAAAATAGACAAAATTAGAATGTCACATGTGCAATAACAATGGAAGTGCATGCGAGCGTTCCAATCGCTCTTCTTCAGGTCAACTGAAGGAATTCCCCGGACGGAGTGTATATTATTCTCTGGGATCGGGTGTCGGGGAATTCCTTCAGTTGACCTGAAGAAGAGTGATTGGAATGCTCGAAAACGTTTGTCAGGAAGTGCATGCTATTTTTTCACTAATAAGGCTGCAAAATCATTCAAAACTAATTGAAATCCTCTGAAATATAAAGGGGAAAATATAATGCTAATAAAATTATTGCTCTTCTCTTTTTATTGAGATACATAAATTATGGTTTGGTTCATTTATTACACGATGTCAATTGTAACTTATTTTGTTGTTAGAATATCATTGGCCAATGTATAGAAAATGTTGCAGTTGCATCTCAAATCTGTGACTACTGATGTAGCATTCAACTTTTAGATGTGGTTATAATTATTTGTGCAGCAGAAAATTACAGTGTGACTTGATTTAAGAAAAAATAAAGTACATTAATTTAATACACAATTCTCAGAAAGCACCTTAATTTGCTGAGACTATTTATTTCAGTACAAACTAATGTTTTCAACCTATAGGCCATCTTTAAGTTTATGTAACTTTTGGAACAACAGTTATAAAGTGTTCCAAAATACAACATTGAAATTTTAAATGAAAAAATTAACAGGAAAAATAACAGAAAAATAAAAAATAGTGTTGTTGTACATGAATTTACTGGATACTTAATACTGAATACTAAATAACTGGATACTTAATTTAATAAATTAAGTATCCAGTTATTTAGTATTCAGTATTAAGTATCCAGTAAATTCATGTATAACAACACTATACTGGATACTTAATTTAATAAATTAAGTATCCAGTTATATTTTTAATTCTGTATAATTTATTTCCTGAAAATCATATCAAATATTAAAATTTACATTGCATAAACTTCAGAATCTTTGTCATATTTTGAAAGATAACTATAATTGTTTTTTATTATATTCTTCTAAATTTTTTGATATTAATTAGTAAACAGCAATATATAGGTTTTAATACTGGATGGAATAAAAATCAAAATGCACCCCATGGCCTTTAATAAAAAATGAGGCCATTGGGTCTTGTCTTTTACTAAAGAAAGCTTACTTTTTTAAAGTTTATTTCTGGATTTGTCCTGTTTTTTTATTTTGTCATCTTAGTATAACATTTTGATTTAAATTATAGTGTTTCACTATAATGTGAGATTATATAAATAAGTTGGACAAATTATTTCCTATTGTTTAGTAATGAATAAATGTTCACAGATTTAGAGAGCATGAAAAAGTAAAACTGAAAACAGAAGTGATTCTGATAATGTAGCATATATAAAAACACTAATGTAATTGTATTGAAAGTAAAATTTTGCTTTATGTTCATAAAAATTGCACAAGTTCTACTGAAACTTGCATAATTTTTAAATATATTTTAAGTGGATAATAGTTTTTTTATATCACTGAATTTCCATTTTATTTTAAATAATTCTTGAGCACTGCAAAATATATTTTAAACAATACAATTTTATAAATAACTATTATAAATATATAAATTAATGTTTTTTAGAAGAAATATTGTCAAAATATATTACCTTAAATACTTAAGAGCAGTTGCTGTAATGTATTTCTATGTTAGTTCATTGGAATTGATTGATTAAATGATCTGGAAAAAGTGATTTCACTTTCAGAAAGTTTAACTGTCTAGTATCTTTAATTTATACACAATTATAATATATTGGACTATAATAAGATTCTATTAGAAACAGATTAGAGCAACTACAGTATATAAATTTTATATTAAAATTTATGGTTAATTTTAGTTTAAATATATTAATGCAAATCTTTTTGTTTTTTGTTGTTTGGTTCAGTGATAATTTTTATCATAGAATTTCGTTAAATTGATTTTTGTAGAAAAATACATAGTAAAGATTATATTGTGCAGACTACAGTTTACATTTTTGGCCTATAATAACTTTGCTTTGTTAATGATGGTAATTATCAAAATATTCTGCTTAAAGTACAATAGATACATGCTTTATGCCACTCTTAGCATCCTGAAGATGCCAGCATGTATCAAAGTAATATAAATGAAAAATAAATTAGATTACATTCCATGGGATATATTCCATGTATTCAAAAATTGAAAGTCATAAAGTAATACAAAAATTTATAAATCCACGATTACAATGTCTATACATATATTACATTTATTTTGTAATAAAATATTAATGGGCATTTGAGTACTATCACAGAATGGTGTGAATATGTAAGAGTTATAGCTTTTTTGGAAAATTTGTTTTTATGTCTTAATCATTCATTCGTTTCATAATCTAAAAGTTTAGTACACTATTAGCAAGCCATATGCATATTTTCCATAAGCTGAATATCATAAATTTCAATATCTTTTTAATAATTTTTTCCAAAGCACTATATAATAAATTGCATAACTTCAAAAAAGAGAGATTTTTCTCTAATTAAGAATGAAAATTAAATCAGTAGTTAGCAGCTTTAAGATTTAAATGTAATAAAATTTTAATAGTATTAAATAAATACATTAAAATATTCCATCAAATGGCTTCCATTTTATATTTGAACTATTACTTAATTAAATGTAATTACTAATTAACTCCATTTAGAAAATTTTAAAGATAAAAACAAAATATTTTAACAGAATAAAAGAATAATTTTCTCATTAGAATAATTTATAAATGATATTATAATGCAAAAATAATGTAATATACTGAAATTTTGCTGGGATAGTACATTTAAACAATGTATTTTAAAGTATTATGAGATAAAATGAATAAGTATATGCCAAAAGTATTAAATTGAACTTTACTATATGTCAGTGTAATATAATTTTTTTTAAGCTGAATATTTCTGAAAAGAATTAATACAAAAATTTAAGACAATATTCTTTTAAGTTATATATTTAATATGATTATACATTTTCTCAGTTCTGTTATTTTTAATAGGAATTATTTCTCAAATATAAAATAAATATGCATCCTCATTCTTTGCTTTAAGTATATAAAGTTTTATTCCTTTACAGTAAGAAGTACAAATAACATAGAAGAGAAAATTTGAAATAAATTTGGAAAGAAATGGTATCTTATTGCATTGATTATTGTAATAGAAATTATTTTACATACAGTAGAATTTGTGTTTTAACATATTTTAAACAGTAAAGGCTGGTTTATAGTCCTTGACATTGTTCCATCATATCCATTGACTATATTCCATTTTGTTATAACATTTGTAGTGTCAATGGTCACATTCCACATTATCATTGGCTTGATGCTGGACCTCATAATGGTCTAATAGAAAGTTCAGTTCAAACTTGATATTCTTCTGTTGATCAAGAACCAATAGAATTGTGAAATGGTATCACATTCTGTATTTGATGTGAAGTACTCAATTGGCTCATCTCTTACAAATGTAACGTGGAGAATATTTGAGATTTGTATGATAAATTGTACAACAAATGCTGAAAAGAATCATGTAATTTTATATAAAACTTGAATTTAAAAGGGTAAAAAAAAATAAACACTTGTAAAGTTTTTATATATATTACAAGTGATTTGTTTCCTGGAGTAATAGATAAAAATTAAGTATATAAAATAGACCTAATAAATAATTTCATTATGTCAAATTTATTTATGATAGATATTATTCTGTTATTACTGTTGTTTATTTTAACAAAAATAAATAACAGTAAATTTTGAATATATCTACATTTTGGAACAAGGAATATGTTTACATCATGTATCGAATTGCAAGTATCATGCAAGTATCGAATTGGACTACAAACTACAACTACTACAGATTCATAACTGTCAAATATTCTATGAACTGTTGAACTACAACAGAACATTGTTCAGGGAACTTCAGTACACCTTAGCAAAATTGCAACATCTAACAGAAGTGGATTATAAATCAGTCTTAATATTCTGATTTTAATTCAAAAAAATTTTAATATCTGAATTTCTCTTCATTAATTTAGTCTTTCATTTGCCAACAGATAATGGATGTCACAAAAATTTTCACTACTAATTGCTATCATGTGATAAAATGATTGGGAAAAATATATCTATAGAAAAACAATTTATGAAATAATCGATTTATTTAGATCTTGATAAAATTAATTTTGAATTAGTCTTAAATTTTATTTTTATTTTACCATATCATTATTTAAATATTTTAATGAAACTTGTATAATTTTGAAATAGTAACTTTCTTTTTCCTAGCTATATCAGTTCCGAATGAATGAATGAATAAATAAACTAATAATACTTTTTATTACATTTTTAAGTTTATGTTGATTTATAAATACAGTAGAGCATTGATTATCCAAATACCGATCAACCAAAACATCAGTTAAAAGAAAACATTCCAATCGGCAAATTCAAATTTCTGCTAGTGCTGTGGCACTGCAGCATTCTCTCCCTCCCTGCCAACTTAAACTATAGTCCTACTTTAATGTACTACTTTATGTAAAGTATGTAAGGTATTTGTAAGACATGTGATACAATATATATACAGTACAGTTTTGTATTTAATATATTTTTTCATAAATGATCAATTATCCTAACAACTCCAGTCCCAAATTGTTTCAGATAATGCTCTACTGTAGTAAATTTATTTTATGATATAAAAATCAACATCTTTAATGCATTGGCAATTTATATGATTTTTTACTAATGTAATCTTTCATTAATGATGCAGTGAAACACAAATTAAAAGTTTCAAATTTAATATACAATGGTGCCTTGTACTTTGAATGCTAAATTGAGAGAAATTCAATCTGGAATTTGAATGATGCTTCTATGTTTGAACTGTGTGTGCAGTGGAAAAATGTTCTCTCTGCATAAAAACAATCTGTTTCATGTGTAAGTCATCTCTTGTTCTCATTGTGAAAGCATCTGTTGCATTACTCATGTTTTCAGTGCTTTTTTTCACTTTATATATAACCAAACACACCGAAAATATAACACCTACTTATTAACTATTGCATCCAAGAAGAGTGGAAGCAATGAAGTCTGAGAAGAAGGTTGTTGTTTCAACAATTGAGGTGAAAAACAAAATTATCACATAGCATGAAAGCAGTACACATATGGATCTGGAGGCAATGTTTAAGATGAAGGCAATGGTCTCCATCATTCTTAAGAACAAGGAAGCAAATGTGGCTAAAGTTGTGACATTGTTGACCTCTATGAGATTGCACATTATTGAGGCGATGGAAAAACTTCTTGTGTGGATAAATGAGAAGCATTTGGCTAGTGATATTATCTCCAAGAGGATTATTTGTGAGAAAGCCAAGGTAACAATGTGATGGTCTACCCTTAATCAGTGCTAAGAGGCAGAAGAGAGCAAGAGAACATCAGAAGTACAGTTATTGGGTGTTTATGGATAATGAGTACTTTTCCAAATAGTAACATTTTCTTCCTTTCCACCAGCTGCATAGGACATCACAACTCCTCACTAAATACAGTCAGTGTTGGGCATTAGTTGACTAAATTTTCAACCATAATCATATTTTAATATTAGTCTCTGAATTGGATTGTGTATTAGTCAAATTATTTTTCAATCATGACTAATAACGAATGACTAAACTGAAGACTAATAGCATCGCAGCAAATAGCAAACCCAAAGCTGTAATTTACTTTATTAGGTTGCAATTATCAAATTTCTACACCTATATGTTCCCATGTCCGTCCACTATCTGTCTGCTCGTTTGGCTGTCCACCTGTCTATCCATCTGTTCATTTGTCCATTCATTCGTCTATCCATTCATTTACTTGTTTGTCCATTTGTCTGTTTGTCTGTTTGTCTGCAAACAGCCAACAGATGACAGTGGGAACGTATAGGTATATTGACGAGATTATTGGGCTGTAGTCTTCAATTTGAAAACTGCAGCCCAATGATCTCATCAATATCAGCTACATATNGTATGTAATGTATTTGTAAGACATGTGATACAATATATATACAGTACAGTTTTGTATTTAATATATTTTTTCATAAATGATCAATTATCCTAACAACTCCAGTCCCAAATTGTTTCAGATAATGCTCTACTGTAGTAAATTTATTTTATGATATAAAAATCAACATCTTTAATGCATTGGCAATTTATATGATTTTTTACTAATGTAATCTTTCATTAATGATGCAGTGAAACACAAATTAAAAGTTTCAAATTTAATATACAATGGTGCCTTGTACTTTGAATGCTAAATTGAGAGAAATTCAATCTGGAATTTGAATGATGCTTCTATGTTTGAACTGTGTGTGCAGTGGAAAAATGTTCTCTCTGCATAAAAACAATCTGTTTCATGTGTAAGTCATCTCTTGTTCTCATTGTGAAAGCATCTGTTGCATTACTCATGTTTTCAGTGCTTTTTTTCACTTTATATATAACCAAACACACCAAAAATATAACACCTACTTATTAACTATTGCATCCAAGAAGAGTGGAAGCAATGAAGTCTGAGAAGAAGGTTGTTGTTTCAACAATTGAGGTGAAAAACAAAATTATCACATAGCATGAAAGCAGTACACATATGGATCTGGAGGCAATGTTTAAGATGAAGGCAATGGTCTCCATCATTCTTAAGAACAAGGAAGCAAATGTGGCTAAAGTTGTGACATTGTTGACCTCTATGAGATTGCACATTATTGAGGCGATGGAAAAACTTCTTGTGTGGATAAATGAGAAGCATTTGGCTAGTGATATTATCTCCAAGAGGATTATTTGTGAGAAAGCCAAGGTAACAATGTGATGGTCTACCCTTAATCAGTGCTAAGAGGCAGAAGAGAGCAAGAGAACATCAGAAGTACAGTTATTGGGTGTTTATGGATAATGAGTACTTTTCCAAATAGTAACATTTTCTTCCTTTCCACCAGCTGCATAGGACATCACAACTCCTCACTAAATACAGTCAGTGTTGGGCATTAGTTGACTAAATTTTCAACCATAATCATATTTTAATATTAGTCTCTGAATTGGATTGTGTATTAGTCAAATTATTTTTCAATCATGACTAATAACGAATGACTAAACTGAAGACTAATAGCATCGCAGCAAATAGCAAACCCAAAGCTGTAATTTACTTTATTAGGTTGCAATTATCAAATTTCTACACCTATATGTTCCCATGTCCGTCCACTATCTGTCTGCTCGTTTGGCTGTCCACCTGTCTATCCATCTGTTCATTTGTCCATTCATTCGTCTATCCATTCATTTACTTGTTTGTCTGTTTGTCTGTTTGTCTGCAAACAGCCAACAGATGACAGTGGGAACGTATAGGTATATTGACGAGATTATTGGGCTGTAGTCTTCAATTTGAAAACTGCAGCCCAATGATCTCATCAATATCAGCTACATATAATTAATATACTAACTGTTATAGATAATTTCTATAAATTATATTGAAAACTGGACAAATTAAGTCAAATTAAGAACAATCCATTTTACTGTTACATGATGTTGTAACATAGAATTCAGGGCAAAGTGTACATTACTATTTCAAACTTTGCAACTTTGTTTTGTAATTTTAGATGTAGAATTCAAGTACATAGAAGAAAATTCACAATGCACTAAACCTATTGCAGAAGCATTTAGATATTATGCAGAGAGAAAAATATGCATACTGTGGAATCATACCTACATTAGTAGCTGTAAGACGTAAATTATAAAAACTAAATACACTTGAGTTCCATTACTGTAAGCCCATTATACGCTCTCTTTGGAAAGCATGAACAAATGATTTTCAAATATTTTTACTTTCTCATCTGAGAAATCTGTAAATGCAGCAATGCAGCAGCATTCAAGAATAGATGGTTATCATGTATACCATGGGAATATCATGATAAATTATTAACTGCCCTGAAAGATAGGTGTTACCTCACCGAAATATCACAGAGGTCTGTAAAAGAAAATGAAATTTCCAAAAGCCATTTGGATAAATTTTTTGATTTTGGTGAAGAAAACACTGCAAATTTCAGCTACAATTGTTGAACTGAAGTTGAAATAGCAGATTTTTTTCAATGACCAATGAAATACTTCACAAATACTAAATAATTATGAGCCAATAAAAGCTATTTTCATAAAATTTAACACGCCACTACCAGCCTTGGCCCTAGTAGAAAGATTATTCAGTTATGCCGCTAGGATGAATTTGCCCAAAAGTAACAGATTATTCAATAAAAAATTTGATAAAAGGATTATTCTATGAGCAAATTTGCATTTATTCTCATAAATTGGAAGAAATGACATTTTATTTCAGTTGAAAAGTGGTTATTTATTAATAATAAGAACAAATACTTTTATTTTATTATACAGTATTTACACATTTTATTTTAAAGCATGAAAAGAGTATTTGTGTTATTTTTACCTTAAATTATGTGTATTTGCTGTTTAAGTTTATCAAACTGGATATTGTTAGGGTCTTGGAATGGATTAATTCACTTTCCCTTATTTCTAATGAGGAAAATTGATTTGGACTTTGCACAATTCAGTGTTCAAATGGCCTCCTGAAACAAATTAAATTCAAAATACAAGGCAACACTGTATTAACTGAAGTTTGAAATTATCTACATCCATAAAATTATATTATGAATAATCTGGTTGTAATTACAGTCTGTTTTATATTTCATATATATTTTGTTGTAATATTATCTATTTAACTTACTAGAACTTATAAAAATACAGTATAAAGTTTTTATTGTATATTGATTAGTATGTTTCCATTTGATTTTTATACTTTTTTAAAATATTTTGTCTTCCAAGGAAAATGTACCAGTATAAATCAGTTTACATTTATATAATTTTAAATATATAGGGTGCTTGGAATGAGACTGATATGTTTTAAATCACTGCCAAAATTCAGTGCATAAAGATAAATGTATTTAATGTATTAGTGAGGAAAAGTAACTATATAAGTTTTCCGTAGAATTAATTGAGTTGCATGGAGTAATTGTAATGCTGCAGTCAATATTGTCAAAATGCATTGGCTCAAGGGAAAATGCAAACTATGTAGTGGTATGCTGAGACAAATTTTGTTGTGCAAGTGCAGCAAAACTTTTGTCATGTGCTTGGAAAGGATCCACCATTCCAAAAACACCATCAAGGCATGGAAGGAACAGTTCCTATTGACAGGAAGTGTGTTGTAAAACATGGAGATGAGAAACCCCAATTGTCAGATGAAAATTTTGAGACGATCAAGAAAGCTTTCCAACGATCAAGAAAGCTTTCCAACTAAAGCCTACTGAACCCATTTGTCAGGCAGCTAGGCAACTTAGAATTCCCTATTCAAATGTTTAAGATGTGGTATATCAGTAACTATGCTATTCTCTGTGCAACAGGGAGAGCACATTTGGAAATCTTATAATTTTATATAAAAACAAGTAAAGGTAGAACTGAAGGGATTCTTACAATAAAAGTTGTGAGTTTGTCTTGAAATTGCCTACCCTACTTTTATTGTAGTTCTTACCTAATTTTACTTATAGCTTTGCAGTCTCAATTCAACATCCTGAATATCTAGATGTATCTTAGGATTACATTTATTAAATCATTAAAAAGTCCATTATTTTTAAATTAAGAAAATGTTTAAAAAATATTTTTATACTTTTCATATTATTAGCTTATACTTTAACAAGAACTAATACAAATTAAGTAGCAATTACATTATAACAAGTCATGTTTATACAAATAATAATTCTAAATATTTTGTAGAAGAAATACAGTAGAGTAATTACTCTTACTGAAAGTTTAAATTAAATAGATTTATTATTTATTTCTAATAAACTAAACATAAATTTGTATAATATAAAATTTTCTGAGCATATAATGTTATTTATAAATGTTAATTTAATCAGTCTAAGAAATATGTAGAAAATTTCTAAATTTAAAATTTGTATTTGATCTTGCTAGAACTAAATTGAACTAAAACTGAAGTTGTTAATTCTAAAATTTTAT